TAAAACAAGGTTTAGAACAAACATTTTATTCAAGAAAGGTTAGAGACTAGATGTCTGCACAAGAAGCAATCCTTGTATTCATCCTGAGATAAAAAACATGACTTCTCTTTCGAACATCTGTAGTCTGTTAAACTCACCCAAAAGACTGACCCGCAGTACTCATCAAGAGGCGAAGCACACATGATCCGTTGTGTTAGGTTCACTGGCCCGGCGATGATTTGTCGACCAGACTCCTCGTGCCCTCTGCTCCACTGCAGCTGAGCTCCACTCAAACACTGCTGCTGTCTCCTCTGTCTACCCACAGAGCAGAGACAATTTCAGGATGTAGCTACGAAGGACTTTGATCCAGGAACCTTTGAAACAAAACCAACCCACCTCCAAAAGAAAAAAAAAAAGAAAAAAAAAACTGCAAGCAATCTGAACCAACTCACTGTGTGAAGATACTTCACAGCAACAACAAAAGTGCTGCTATGCTGCTGCAAAATGATAAATTACATACAAATCTTGGAGGTTTTATCTTCTAGTGAATTGTGTTGTCCTCAGAGTACTATAATCCAATCCTTTTTGAGATGGGAAAACCACACAGACAACCAAGTCTCATTTTTCTCCAGCCCACATAAACATAAACTCCTCTGTATTCATTTTTGTCTGAAGTTTAACTTTACAAGCAGAGAAGGGTCCGTAAGTAATAAAAAAGAGGGAGAAAAAAGAGCGAGAGAAAAACCTTGCGTAAGTCTGACAGCGCAGTTTTCGATGTGTTGGGGGAACCGCTCTCTATAAAAGGAAGTGTGTTTAGGAAAAGGAGGGAGGGGATCATTATGTCTGCTTTCCTGTTGAGTTTCCACTTCTCTGCATGAGAAAGAGTCTGGAATGAGACCAATTTATTTTCAGCACTCACATCAAGTTTAATTAAATTCTCAACTAACATGACTTGAATAATAATGAGCCAAATGAGAAATCTCTGTGTTTTAGTCAGACACTGATTAGTCACAGACTTGGGGGTGTGGTCATTACAGAACCCTTTTGCCTCGTTTTGTTTTTGTCGAACAGGGAGAGGATTGGACTTCAAACCCAGAGGGCATAGTGAACATTCATGCTGCACTTAAAGTGAGATATGTGTGATTAGGAGTAGATTAACATCCCTCCACTGTGTTTACAATGTAAAGAAAAGGTAACTGAAGGGGTCACAAGGGTTTTCCACACTTTGCGTGATGGAAATTAAAAGCTGCTCTGATTTATTAATAATAGACTATCTTTATCCTGCCAAAATATTGGTTGTCTGCCTTCACACACACATGTAAGCAACATCCCAGAGTTCAGGTTTGATATAATGTCGGTTGACCCTTTGTGGCTAATAGAAAAGGATTTCCACAAGGTTTAGGAGACCATTGAGAAATTTTAACCATTTTTTTTAGAAGTGAGTTTGTAAAGTCAGACCCTGATGGGTAAGAAGGCCAGACTCAAAGCTTCTAATTCATCCCAAAGATATTCTGTCAGGCTGACAGAGAAATGATTCGTCTCTCCAGAAAACATGTCCTTGGTGACTGCAAGATTTCAGCCATGAAGTCCATTTCACAAAGCTCTCTGAGATAAACTCACACCATACCATGTATCTCAGCATCTGCCGACTGGTGTGACTTGATGTGGCCTTCCACTTTGTGGCTACACTGCTCTCATTCCAAGTCACTTCCACCTTGTCCTACTACCTTCTAGGAATCACTGAAGAATACCACAAACAGCCTGCATGCCCAGGGGATGGAGTTCATGGTGAAAATCTCCATAGGTTCAACCCAAGAGAAATGACAGGCCTCCAGGACTCTGAGACCAGAACTTCCTCTTCTGACAGGCTTGTTAAAAATATTCACCAAGATCCTAAAGGTTTGTAGCTTCATTGAAGAATTATATATATATATATATATATATATATATATATATATATATATATATATATATATATATTTTTTTTTTTTTTTTTTTATCAACGAAACGTGCTAAAATTAATCATCAGTAATTATTGTTTCAACTTAATGTTGCGCAATTCAGTCCGTTTTGGTTCAATTAACAAATAAAAAGGGACTCAAAGACTCATTAAAAAATCGATAACTAAATATCAAGCCTGGAAATCTGATGTTTTAAAGGACTGAATGTTTTTAACTTAATCTTTGCTCGGCTTGCGGGGCGCAGGCGGTTACCACGGCAACGTGTATGCTTAAAACGATGAAGAGAGAAAAAGCGCAAAAAGCTGCGGGTGGTTCTGAGTTGATCACCTGTTCGGGTTTGTTTCGCCTTTGTTCACCTTCGCTGCGGTTCATCACAGCCGCTGGAGTTTCTGAACGTTCAATCAACGACAAACTTTGACTAATGACTAATTAACTCTTCGTTTGCAGTGAACGTGTCATAACAAACATCCAATAGGACACACATATTTGATTAAGCTTTGACAAACAAATGGCTTCTACCACGATAATGATGTGAAATTAAATTAATTACATTCCAGATTCAGAAGATTTGCCTTTACCTTTGCAGAGCACTTTGGTTCCTCCTCTCAGTCTGCAGCTTCTCGTATTGACGTCATCAAACCAAATTTGCTGGCACCTGCTGGCCTTAGGTTTGCGACCAGCTTCTGACTGAGAAACCAGTAACCTGCTCCCAGTGTCAGAATGTCACTGAGGAAGAAACCACATTAGGTTTTTTGTCATTTTATCCTTTCTGATATAACTGATGTTGTATATAAAATAAGTCAATGTTTCATTTACAATTTTTCTGTCTTCGTGTCAAGATGTAGTTCTCAGCCGGCTGGTGAGAGGAAAAGTAGATCTTGGTCTCTAAAAGTTTGAGCTCCCCTGATGTACAACATGGATTCAGGTGTATCACGGAACGAGATGGGAGTCAGAGTCCCATCTGCATGATATGCAACGCCAAGTTGAGCAACTCTAGTCTCCCACTGGAGAAACTAAGAGAACACTTCTTAAAGCTGCATGGAGATGGGGAAAAGTAAAAGTAAAAAAGTATTTTGTGGATTCAAAAAAACTAATTAAATTTAAAATTTAAACAATTAAATTATTTAAAAAAAATTTAATTCTCTAAAAAAATCTAAATTTATGTTTAATTAGTAAAATAGCAGAAAAATATATATATTTTTCAGGGCTGAAGTTCTTGTATGGAGCCAAAATATTTTTGGGGGGCCAGAATAAAGTTATACTGTAATTTGTTGTGAGTTCATGCACTGTGTTGGTTTTGTTCTTTGAGCAAGGTGATGTTCATGCCTGGCTCATTTTGTGCACCAGTAAAAAAAAAAGCATATATCAATGTCTTGAATTTTGAAAAAAATCATATTTTATTTATCACTAAAGAAGGGTTCATTGAATGCGAATTTGAAATTTGTGGGTTCGGTACCTGAAAAAAGCTTAAAAACCACTGCTTTAAAGCTTCACCAAATGTTTAAAAGTGGACAAATTAGTTGCACTTGATTCATTTCATAAATAAGAAGATCCAGCAATAGACTTTAGATAACAGTCTTATAATAATCAAGTGTAACTGAAAGGTAAACGAAACGGCCAATGGCCAATAGACTGAATTTATATTGTTCTTTCCTAAGTCATATTGAGAGAACTTTACACAAGGGCTGCATTTACTCAGTTTACTCAAATATGCGTACAAAGTTCCTTAAAAAATAAACAAAAAACAGTGTCCTAATTAAGAAAAATGTTTTTTTTTTTTTTTTTTTGTAATTTGCTATATTTCAACTCTTTTTTGTTGTTTTCTTTTGTACAGCAAAAGTTCAGGAAGACAAGTACTCGTGATTTAGATGATCTTTCTTTTCGGAAATATGGGCAATTAAAAAGTTCACATTTATACAGGCTGCTACCATTAGCTTATTATCAGTGTCTGACTGGTACTGGCCTTATCTGAGCTGGTAAACAACTCAGTGCACAAAAACAACCCTAACAGATCTTATTCAAAATAGATTATTTTAATTGTCGATGAGATATATCTATGTGATGGAAAAGTTCTTAAAAGTCCATCTCTATAAATATAGTCTCTAATGGATTTAGATCATGTGTGCGTGTGTGTGTGGGTTCTGACTATCTTCAATGGCCATGACAGACATGACTCCTACTGTGTTGTAGGTAATCATTAAACATTTACTAATTTCACAAGGACATAGTCATGATGACTCAATATTCTTGCAACTCCCAGGAAAGCAATGTGACGCCAACATATACATGATAAAAAATACTACAGTCTATTCACTGTTCTAAATACAACTATGCTGCTGCTCATAGGAATGTGACCAGAGGTCATTTCAGTTTAATGTGTCTTGTTTTAATCAATCATGAAACTTAACGTAGAAACTGGACAGTAACTAAAGGCCACACTTCAATATCAGCCTGCATAACCAACCAAAAGAGGCATATTATTATTCACAAGTTAAAGCATAGTTTTGTTTTGGGGTATTTTAAGTCACAAATGACTAATAGTTTTGTGAAATATGAGGGGGTTTTTTTCTCAGAGAAAAACAATTTATCTGAGATTAACATGTTAGTCAACTTTTTGCTACATATAGGGACTTTAAATTTGTAATAACATGGAAATAACGCATATATTTTATATTTAGCAACAGCATCATTACCATCTTGACCTCTTTGTGTATCCCTAAAGTCACTGTGTAAACTGTTTATTGAATGCATAAAAAAGTTGTGTAAATGTGAGATGCAACTTTGTGAAAGTCAATGCACACTTGAAAAGAAAAAAAGCAAACAATGTTTTTACAAATCAGCATCTTAGTTCCAAGAACGTAAAGGCTTCATCTTCTCCCTCCATCTTGTGAACAAAATCAAGAGCTTGATTGAATTTTTTTGAGAACTGTGATCAACTTGAATGTATATACTTGACTTTAAATATGTATGACAGGACTGAATTGGCTTTTTTTTGTAAAGTGCTTTAAATTCGCTTGTTGTGAATTGGCTCCTATATAAATAAACCAGATTGAAAGAATATTGTTTTTTCTCAGATCCACAGATCTGATCAGATTTATTACTTTACAAATCAAACCCAGAGTTTTGAAGCTCCCCACACGTCTTAGCTCAAAAATGGTTCAATTAAAATGTGCAAAACACAATGGTAGCAGAAGACAACAGCTAACTGAAAAATCAAAAACAGAAAAGAACAGCGCTAAGAAAACAAAACAATTCCAACATTGAACTGAATGTACTTTCATTGTGAATTTGTTTCTTTGTCTTATTGTTTAAATTGTTCAAGTGCTTTATATTCTTTTATAGTTTTATGACTCTGTTTTTTAGATGTTTTTTCCAGTTTTCCCACAATGTTGTGTGAAATGCTGTTCTTTTTGTGTTCTGCGCCTCAGAAGTACACGAACAAACACAACTGTGAATGATCCACAGCTTTCTGTTCAGTCATAAACCTTCATTAACAGCATGTAAGACAGCAGTGCTTTCCCTGAGCTGCAAAAACAAACAGACTGTTTAAATGTTAATGCTCTGATTAAAGAAAATGAACACTGAGGCCATTTGAAAATGAATGTATGAAAAGAAAAAAACTGTTCCATCTTTTTGAGGTATCACAAGGTATTTTTGGCGATTGCGTTCAGACTCCGGACTTTGCTGGCGTCTGTCACCTTCAGGCTGTACTCAGGCGTTGACATCGTAGCTGCCATCGTTACACAGGTGTTCCTGCACGCAAACAGTTTAGAAGAATTTAACTAAGGTTTTGAGTTTGGTAGCAATTATTTCGTTAAGTGTAGTAGAAACATGCCCAGGTAAGCATTATTTAGGGCTGGCTTTAAAACAGACCTGAATTTCATTGCAGAGTCTCTGCTGGAGCGAGCAGAGCAGTGAAACTCCTCGGCTCCAGAGGCCTCCAGTATTCTCTGCAGGTTCCTCTCTGTAATACCACCACCTGTCATTCGAATACATAAAAAAAAAAGAGAAAATAATACATTAAGAGATGAATAGGCAGAAAGGAAAGCGGAAAAAATGGGAGTACTAACCTGGCATTACAATTATCCTCCCTTTGGCCTATTAAGAGCAGATTGCAAAGTCAGAATGATTCTAACAACACTGCCATTTTTGAACATTGACTAAAAAAAATAAAGAAATCAAAAAAAGTGTTCACATACAGTTAAGCCCAAAATCATTCATACCAAAATCAGGCAGTTTTTAATCACAAAATATTTTTGTTCAACCAATGGGTTTAGGAATTTAAGATAGTTAATGTGGCAGAGTTCTATAAAAATATAATTTAAAGAAATATCAGATTTCACTTTTGTTTATATTTTATTCAAACAAGACACGTGAAACAGTATTTATAGCCTTTTCCATAGCCAAAGGCAACAGCTTTACTGTCATTACAGCAATCACACACCCATTTTATCATTGCTGTTAAGCTTTTTGCATGTTCCTTTAGCCTTTTATCTTTGGTGATAAGTTTCAAAAGATTGAGGTTGAAAGGCCTCCTATCCATCATCACCATAATATTTAACTATCAGATCCAAAGTGGGATTATGGCTGGGTAACTCCAAAATGTTATTACTAGGTAAAATCTAAATCTGGCAATGTATGAATAATTATGGAGTCAAGTGTATTAGGAAATAGAAAAAAGTCGAATAATTACACAAGTTTTAAGGCCTTTATTTCTGTACATTATCATGTCCATTTTTTACCTTATAATTATAATAAAGGTATTGTAGCAATCAGGTTCTGTTGATCAGCAGTGATTAACTGGTCATCAGGAAGTTGAAGCACTTTTAATAAAGCAGAACTGCCTGTGGATATTAAGGGAATATCAAGGAGGAAAGACTCTTGCACTGACTGAAGTTCTTTTTGGGGAGAAATTTTAGGTCATTTCCAAACTATATGAAGCTCATCATTCTGCAGTGGGCTCTTTTCACCCTAAATTAAATCTACAAAAGCAGTTACTACTCTGTATATGAATGAAAATTCTAACTATTCAACTGGGGCTCCACAGCTCTTACTCGAAGATAATCAAAAAGCTTTCAAGTAAATATTAAGAAATATTTTTTGAAGTATTGATTAACATCTGATCAATTGCCAGCAAGGTTTCTAGGGCTTCTGTGACACGTACTTGATCAATGAGCCGTTTAATAACGGGCAGCCCCTCCAAAGCCGAGCTGTCGCAGCCACTCGTCAGCACCCGCTCAAATCCTAACGATATCAGAGTCTCCAGAGCAACTGCTGAGTCGTAAGCCATGTCAAAAGCTGCAGGAAGATCAACACAAGATTCTTAAAAGATTCTAATAAAGAGTTGTCTATTCTGCTGAGGATCTGTGATATTTCTTTAGGTGTGAATGCTGGGGGTAGGTTAGCAGTGCGGTTACCTCGATGGAAGGTCAAAGGCAGAGGACGAGCAGCCGCTGGGGAGCAGGAAGGCACAGAACATCTTATTAGCAGCAGGAAAATTGGAAAGTTTCCAAATTTAATTTGAACTGTTGACTTTTTCATTTTAATAACCTGCATGCTGAGAAAATTGGTTTATCACATAGCTTGCAGACTGAAAACTGATGCCGCAGAAAGATGCATTAAAAGCATCAACTCTGTGATGGAGAAAATATCATCCTGGATTCTTACTGACACAATTCAACATATGATTTTATTTTTTAATAACTCAGAGAAATTACAAATCCATCCTAAAGTGCCATGTTGAAACACATCAAATACAAAACATGCAGTAGAGAAGAGTTATCCTTTTTTTTCATAATAATGGCCTAAAATAAACTAGAATCATGGCTTTCAGAACAGGCTATTGATCTGCTCCCTTCCTACTTTTAACATGGTGAGTCTTTGAGAGCTGGTTTCATCAATAATTGGCATTTTAATGGAAGTTCTAACATGGAAGTGAGAAAACTGCACCATTTGGACAGCTGATAAAAAAGCTATGCCTGATTTTATTTCATTTTTTGTGCTACAACAAGCTTGTCTGTAAAGATTTATGAGGGCATTTTATACCTCAATAAAGCAATCCAGACGGATATACAGTCCTTACTTGATTGGTGACAAAGTGAAAAGCACTTCCACCTACATCCTGAAAAAAACTGCTGACTCGTCATTCAAGTCAATGAAAATGGCCATTTCTGATGATTTCAACAAAGTTACAACCTTTAACATTTGCCTCTTACTTATACTTCTTAATTTCTACAACATTATTTATATTATATTAGCCTTAGCTTCCACAAACAGACAACAGCCTTTTGATCTAAAATAAAACTCTCAATCAGCTAATAGCAGGCTCTGTGCTTTCCAAGAATTGATGATGAAAAAACTAAAAGCTGCCCAAGAGGAACGTCATGGTCCAAATCTATTTATATCAGTGAGACTGCAATTCTGACACCAGCTATGACTCTTTTTGCTCATATTTTGTCTCCCCCTTCTGGCAGTCAGTTTTAACACCCATCGTAAATGTCTGTTGCAAACATAGACGCTGTAAAATTTTAAAAAGTTTCTACGTATTTCAATCTCCTTTGCTGAGGATACTCAGCCACAATAATAAACAATTAAATGGTGATATTCAAATTGTTAAAACATTGTTTCCTTAGTTAGAATACATCCTGTAGTTGGGAGAATATATAGCATTTATTAAAAACTCTGGAAAAATCCAGGCTCTTACTGAAGGTCTTTTTCAAAAACATTTCGCAAGAAGTGCGTCATTTTCACTGCATGATGCATACTTAGGCATATGTTTGTACTAAGTCATCTGAGAGCAGTTTTACCTACATAAACCAATATATTCCCTGCTCTAAAGACATAAAGTTAAGGTTTAAAGGTCTAAAATGTCAATCTTTTATGATGTAAAAAAAACTGTTCATTCAGGTTTGGTTGGGTTACTTCAAAATGTAAGCTTGCTTTAGCTAGAACATTTTTGTTGAATAGCCAACGCTCACCAGTATTTTGATACTCGATTTCAACTTCACTAAGGACCCTGTTCAAGCTAAAAATTATTGGAACTTATTAGAAAAAAGTTCCTAATAAGTTTTCCTTATTAGGAAACTCAATGTTTCCTAATAAGTTCCAATTTTCTAAAAATTCTGAAATTCTGAAAATTCTCTAATAAGTTCCACCATGGTTCCAGTAGACCATAGCACATTTTTCCACATGCATTTGAGAGATTTAGCCAAGCATGGACAATCTTCTTAGTAAAAAGAGATGTACACCAGACATAAGACGAAGACGGATGATTATCCTCACATCTTCTACAAAGCCAAATAAAATTGCCAGCACTTTAAATCTTGCACTACTTTTTTGATCCACTCGATGCTGACTATGTTCAACGTGTTCTATGGTAATTATGATTTCCTCTTTATAGGTGGTGTGCACCAAAAAAAGATTTTAGTTTCATGCTGTTTTAAAGGTGGAAAAAGTTCTGAAAGGATTTATCTTGGTCTTATTTACCAACTAGTTATTTCAGCTGTGGTGTGTAAACTATTTACATCAACTGTACCTATCAGCTCCATGCAGAGTTCTGCATCCACCCCTCCAGTCTCTGTCAAGGCGCCAACCACGACGCCATCTGCTCCCTGCGTCTTCATCAGCTCAATGTCCTTCTTCATCACCTCCACTTCTTGGTCAGAATAAAGGAAGTCTCCACCTCGAGGCCGTATCATTACGAAGACCGGAATTTTGATGTACTGCTTTACCACCTGTAGAAGACCTGCAGCAAAACAAATAAGAAGCAAATGAATTGTGATTATGCGGCTATGTAGGTCACAGAGTTTCTAGGACAGATCTACAATGTGCAGCTGACCGAGACTGGGAGTGAGACCTCCCTCCATAAGACTTGAACACAACTCCAGTCGACCAGCACCTAAAAGGACAAAACATAAACAACTGTCAGAGAAAAGTCAAGGCCTTTAACCTTTGCGAATTGAAGCAACTCTGGACATTAACTTAACAGTGACATCTGACATGACTAAAGCACAATACCTGCCAGAACTAATGGAGATATGTTTGAAATACCACTAAAATGGAGTCAGCAATTTGCAACCTTTGACCTTGCTTTTAAGGAGAGCTAGATTTTAAGACAGAAATATGGGTTTAAAAGTGTAAAGCAGAGCAAACTGAACTACTCTTCACTGACCTCCTCGCTCAGCATTGACAGCAGACTCCACGGAATCCACGCACACCTCCAATAAAATGCTCTGTGCCATCATGAAGTTCAGGCCAAGGGAACGCTGAAAAGGGATATAGACATATGCATTCTAATTTTTTTATTTCACTCAACAAGTTTAAAAGTATGTAAACTTTTACCACCACATGTACCTTTTCCTATCAACAGAAGGAACCCGAAATGAATGTTTTGAGTGCGATTCAGAGTCAGGACATGTTTTTGTGGGAGCCAGTCACTACAATGGATGACCAGTTTCCGGGTTGTTGAATTTAACTTTTGCTCTGTTTGTGCGGGCGGACTTATGTCAATAGTTTGCTACCAGCATCGCTAGTTGGAGTGACACCGCCCACGCGAGATACGCTTATATGCTAACACTAACAACACTCGGGATCTCCATTACGATTTTTTAAAAATAGTAGATGAACGAAATATTTTGGTCAAACATTAATTACATTTACGATTTACCCATGGACCGTTAGCTTCATACAACCATACAAATAAAGAGTGAAAACAGCGTCGCTTTTGTTGCCCCGTAGAAACACGTCCGCGCTTCCGCCATATTGGTAAAGGCAGGTTTGCCTTGAGCAAAATAACGAGTATGTTTATCTTAAACAATAATACACACATACCTTCAATCTCTTACATAAATTTAACAAATCTGCCAATCAAAGTAGAACATACCAATGAATACAAAGCAAAATGTTTTTGAAATTTACCCAAAATTGCCTACATTTTTTTCTGAAAGAAAAAACCCACAAATATTACATTGCTTTTGTTTTAGTTCTTCAAACTAGAAACATATTTAGTTTAAATGTTTTGTTTGCCTCAGCCCTTATTTGGAGATAAACGTGAAACAAATTGAACTTATTGTGCAGGTGTAAGTTAATTAAAAAAAAGAAAAAGCAAAACAGAAAAAACAATAAATTTATTACATGTTATAGTAAAATTGAAAAATTATGTTTAAATTTTTTCTTGAATCAGTCATAGTTATTAAAAATAAGGAATGACCATGTTTTTTTTGTTTGTTTTGTTTTTTGTGGTGCTGCACAATTTCAGAAACACGTTACATTACTATTAATGAAAATTGCAGTGATGATATCAACAATAATCCTCAATTTCTTTTTTTTTTGTTTTCTTTCCCAAAACACTATGTCTTCACTCTTCTTCATTATCTTTGTCAAATTCTCCGGTTCCATACATTAAGAAAAATAAACGCTCATTTAAAAGCTCAGTCCCTTGGATTATATGTATGCAGAGCATGAATGCCTGAGATTTGCAGTGTTATGTTTTTCCAAAGATTGCATCCTAGGAGTCTGTGCTGGTTGAAACATTGCACCCAAATATAATACAATTACACCTGAGTTTCAATATTGTGCAACTGCATTTGCTCAAAGTATTTATCAAGACGTAAAGAGTTTAGTCTCTCTGTACCTTTCCAGATGGCATTGCTCAAGTTAAGTGTTTTCTTGGTAAAGACAAATGCATTTGTCTTTTAAAGTTATTATTAATAGCTTTTTTCCTAGATACCTCGTTTACATTACATAATCTTCATTGTCAAATAATTGGCACGGTTGTTGTCTGTCATATTATATTAGCAAATGTCAAATAAAAACAAACAAACAAACAAAAAAACATTTCCTTCAACTTCACTTTTGACATTAGCTTTACTGGAAGAGCACGTTTACCTTAAAACATTTGCGTTTCCGACCATAAGCCAAAGGTCTGCCAACCCTTTGGCAGTTATCACACTCTGCAACCTTTTGGATAAAGAAAGAATAGATACAATAATAAAATGAACAAACAATAATGTATGTTGCTATAATAAAAGGCATACCCATTTGTCCACATCCACAGACATGCCATTCCAGTAATACCTGGCGCACATAGCCGACCTTGTTTTCACAATTCCCATGTGAGAACCAGTTGGAGAAATGTGAAACTCTTTGAAAAGTTCCTTTGCCTCCTCCTTGGTCTTAACAACCTTTCTGTTTCCAAAGTAAAGTTCTCCTTCTAAGCAAAATAAATATAGCTTAACTGAAAGAGGAACATTAATAAGACATTAGATATATGCACGCTAGTTTTTTAGATACTAACCCTTCAATGTGAATTTGGAGGCATATCTCCTGAGGGTTTGCTTCTGAGCTTTCCGAAACTCCTCTGGGAAGGAATGTTGGGAAAGATAGAAGAAAATGTCTTCCCACTTTCTTTCCATCTCTTGAAGAAATGCAACAATAATTTGTTATTTTCAATAGTCTCAGTGAAAAAAGGAATAGGTAAAAAATGTTGATTCACTCAACCACTCTACATAAACTGCACATTTTATACATGTGTGGGTTCAACTGTGAATGCAGACTGTGTTTTGTAATAAAATGCACTCAGATGAAGCCTAATGGCATCATCAGATACATGGAAATATAAAATCTGTGTGAGTGCATCTGTATATTTTACAGGTGTGAGTTGAATTCAACCATTAAAATGTAGTTCCCAGGTAATTAAATTACTGCCCTAATATACTGGATTTTTTTTTTTTTTTTTTTTTTGTGGCCTCATGGCTCAAACTTACTTGCTCCAGCTGAATAGACAAAAACATCCGAGGTCAGGATCCCATTGAAAGACACTCCCGTGATTGGATGATAAGTTTTCCGAAATTTACTTCGCTGTACACCCTACTGCAACAGATAAGAAAATCATATTTACTAAAGACACTATGTTCACAACAAAAGAATAAATCAGCCAATCACTTCACAATGATAACAGTTTAAATATAAAATCTCTCATTTCTGTTTGGCTTGAAGGATGGGTGGATTAATACCAACTTGAAATACTATGGGTGCAAATTAAACGAAAACATAGCCTACATAAATTCACATATTAAGTTCTCTTAATGGTAAATCTGACGTCACTTATGCTAGTCAGAATTATTTCGAATGGGTATTTTTGTCTCGGGAATATACAATTAGCTATCTGATTAACTTACACGACAAGTTATTAACCAATATCACATATATGGAACTTAGTGCTGTGAAGTCAATTTTATGTTAAAACGGCTTGCCTTACATCCAGAGTCCAGTTCACCTCATATTGACCACAGATAAACAGGTATTTGTGACAATTCACTCATCAGCTAACTGTCGCAATGTAGAGATGACTCAGTTAGATATTAACTGAATGGAAACTGTAGCTAAAAACGGACAAAGAAGCGTTTCGGGTGATTCACCAGCTTTAAAAAAAAAAAAAAAAAAAACACGGTGGAACCTATCTCGACGGGGGAACTCAGCTCGACATATCAGTCAAAATCATCAAATTATACACTTTCAGGGAGAAAAAAATCAAACAATTCATCTTGATAAATTACAAACAGAAATTTATAGGAATACGATAGGTAAATACATAAATATGAGACAAGTTGAGCAATGAATACTTTGTACCTAGGCGGTATGAACAGTTCAATAATTAGTCGTCGAGGTGAGGTACTGAAATCTTGTTCTGCGCATGCCCAGGAAGTAAAGACCAGACAACATTTTTTTTAAAAGAAACTTTATTATACAAATGACAAGTACAACTAAAAAGTGTGCATTTTCTGTGAAAATGCAAGTGTGAATGCTGAATGTATTTGGTGGAAATGGCAAAAGCAGGCGTGAAAAATTCATAAAAAGTTGATTATCATCAAAAGTATGAAAGTTATGTATACCAGAAGATATAGGCGGCAGTAGGAGAGCAAGCTGAGTAGTATAAAAATTGAATGGTGAAAATAACACAAAGTATGCAGGAGAAGAAGCGCTGCAAAAAAGAGAGCAACCAGAATAAAAATAATAAAGAATAAAGAGAAACAGGAAAACAAGAGTGTGAATGCCATTCTCACTAACAAATTAATGTATGAAGAACACAGAATACAGCACTAATTTGAGCAAATAACTAGGGCTGCCAATGAAACAAATGTCTCTCTCAGCTGAGCCACCAGATTCCCACTCAGATCACAAGTCTCAAGAAATAGATGTCTTTTTAAATAAAATCTGTTGCACCAGATGAAGCATTTGTGTGGCAAGATGGAGTTGTTTTTATACGACGGTTCACGTTAAGATGAACTGCTTATAGAAGAATGAAAGTTTTACAGAGAGTTTCTAAATTTTGTAATTACAATTTAAAAAGTGCATCCACAAAGCTTCATCACAATTCTAAAAGGTTTTTCCATATACAATTAAAAAACATGCGGCCAATATATTTGTTAATTTTATTAACCAGACATAAAGCGAGAGGTAGAGCGAGACAAAAAGAGAGAAAACAATTTGTTAATCTGATATCACTGGGGTCTGTTTGCAAACATAAATTGGAACAGCTGAGTGTGACTCGTGTGACACCGCCCATGACAGATACGCTGGTATGAAACTAAACACTACTTAGTTTGGATCCGCCATCAGAAATACTGAATATATATATTTCCCTTATTAGCAAATCTGACGTCATTTATAAAAGTCAGCAACAATAGCACCAAAACTCAAGAAGTTTTGTTGCTATTGTTATTGTTGTTGTTATTTAATAACCTGACTTCCTGATTACTTCAACGTGACGTCTGTCAACGTCAGCGGGTCAAAGTTGAGCAGGCATGCGCACCACCAGCGTTACCAAACCAGCCTTGTTGCAGCAACAGTTCATCTTTAGGACAGCACAGTAGTACCGTAGGAGCTCAGGGGAACACACAAAAAACTAAAATGCTACTGTCAAAGTTACGAACTACGATATTTTGTGGTTGCAGATATGCTGGGAAGGGTCTTCAACAGAACAGCGTAAGTTGAGCTACGTTCAGTTGCTATTTGGAGCTAACCTAAGTAGTTAAAGGAAAAGGTCGCGATAGCAAACCTGCGATAAGCGTCTATGTCAGGTTGTTTTTACTAAAATGTTGACCGTGACCGGTCAACATTAACTTAATGTTGACCGGTCACGCTGTGGAATCACGTATCATTATGATGTTGCATGACTGACCTTCAGCCGCATTGTTACTGTCAATGTGGAAAGTAAGCATCACATTTATCATGTGACGTTACACCTGCTTGGATGTATTTTCTGAATTACCCTGGGTATTCTGAAAGGAAGATATTTGGAAATGAATGTCAATATGAAACCTGCAATAAGCCCCCCAAAAAACTGATTATTATTATTATTTTTTTACTAGTGCTTCCATAAAACCACTGTGAGCTTCACAAAACCTGGTAGTAAGACGAGAGTCTTTTTATATGAGGGAAATAAAGATTTCATTCATGAAATATTCTTTGAAACTAGTTTGCTTTGTGCTGTACCTTATTTACAACTTGAACGCCACCTCAAATTAAATTAAATCTTAATATAAGAGCCTTGCCCTTGTGTGCTTTCTTTTCTTTACTTCCAGCATCAGCGTCCACAGCTGCGACAATGGCTTGTGAGGAGAAACCAGAGCTCCATTACTGTGGAAGCAGGGCCATCCTCCACCTCAGCAGCAGTATCTGTTCCCAACGCAGCAACAAACCGCATGGTGGGTCGCTGGTTGTTGGGCTGCAGTGGGCTCGTGGTTGGGGCGGTGGTCTTGGGTGGTGTCACAAGGTAAAAGTAACTTAACTATTGTCACTGGTTTTGTAATTCTTTGAAATGCAATAAGTGCTGATGTGTGTCTGTGTTTTGTTCTTTTTATTGTTCAGGCTAACTGAGTCTGGACTCTCAATGGTTGACTGGCATCTGGTGAGGGAGATGAAACCACCTCAGTCTGAGGCCGAGTGGGAGGCTGAGTTTTCCAAGTACAAACAGTTTCCAGAGTTCAAAATGTACGGCTTATTTCTTTTTCTTGTTTTAACATTTTAAGGACAGTTTAAAGACGCACTGAAATCTTTTTTTTTTAATTTAAACAAAGTAGAAATGATTTTTTTTCTCTTATGCTTGATTTAATATGTAATCTTATTTTTTTCTAACTATGTAACTAAATGAAGGTTTCATTTTACAGACTTAACCATGAGATGACTCTGCCTGAGTTTAAGTTCATCTTCTACATGGAGTGGGGTCATCGCATGTGGGGCAGGCTAGTTGGACTAGCATACATCCTGCCTGCTGTGTACTTTTGGAAAAAAGGATACCTCGCACGTTCCATGAAAGGAAAAGTGCTGGGGCTGTGTGGATTTGTATTCTTCCAGGTCAGACATCACTAATTTATTTTAATGTCAAGATAAATATTGTCTTTATTATTCAGTTAGTAAAAGTTTTCCACAGAGGTTTGCAAAGCATCTCATAACTGAAGTGTGTTGATCTTGTCAGGGCCTTCTGGGCTGGTACATGGTGAAAAGTGGGCTGGAGGAAAAGCCTGAATCGCATGATGTCCCGCGGGTCAGCCAGTACCGTCTGTGTGCTCATCTGGGTTCAGCCCTGGTGCTGTACTGTGCTAGTCTCTGGACCGGGCTTACTCTGATTCTGCCTGCAAATAAGGTAGAGTTTTGATCTAGTTTTTGATCTTAATTTTGTCTTGATCTATTTACTGTAAATCAACAATTTCTTATTGGATCATATTTTGTCCCTTTTATTTCATCTACTTCCTAGATGGCAGACTCTAAACGTCTCATGCAGCTCAGAAGGTTTGCAAAGGGAACGGGTGGACTGGTCTTCCTGACTGCTCTCTCAGGTGATACTTAAAATGTAATTTGAGGAAAACAATAGAATTGCTTTCAAGCAAATGTGTTACTTAAAAGCAGTGCTAAGGTTAAAAAAAACAGAACCTGTTCAGTCAATACATTTTAAGAAGGTGTAGTAAGTACTCTTATAAAGAAGGTAACTGTGACAAGGAAAGGTTACCTTTTTTGTTGTTGTTTTTTTCCCCGTAATAACAGTCGCAGTATAAATCTGCTTCAAAATGTTATTGACTATTCACTCAGTTGCTTTATTCTGTGTACTGCTGGGTGTTTGGCAAAATAGATTCCAGTGAATACAATTTGAATATAAGTAAATTATGAGCTAAATGTGTTTTTGTTGTAATTCTAGTTTGATTGAATATCAAACAAGTCAGATATTTAATAGTTTTGCTGATTATTTTTGTTTTGAAGGTGCCTTTGTTGCTGGTTTGGATGCTGGCCTGGTATATAACTCATTCCCTAAGATGGCAGATAAATGGATTCCTGATGACATATTGGCCTTCTCTCCTGCACTGAAGAACATCTTTGAAAATCCCACCACAGTGCAGTTTGACCACAGAATTTTGGTATGTTGTCTTTAGTGCATTTCAAATTCAGTTCAAACTGAATGCCAGTGAATTCACGCAGTAATATGCTAATCTTCTTTTCAATCTGTTTCTTTCATATTTTAGGCAATTGGCTCTCTGACAGCAATCACTGGCCTTTATCTGTTCTCAAGGAGGATGATGCTGCCCAGAAGGGCTAAGATCGCCATCAGTCTGCTTGCAGCAATGGCTTATACACAGGTATGCTTTCAGGCAGAAATGTCTACAACACAATGGTGCAACATATGTCACAATAACTAAACATTTTATTTTTCTGCTCATTAGGTAGCACTCGGTATCAGCACACTTCTACTGTATGTTCCTACTCCATTGGCAGCAACTCACCAATCTGGATCTGTAGCTCTTCTGACTTTTGCCATTTGGGTTCTGGCTGAACTTCGTAAAATGCCAAAGTAAAGCCTTCTCCTTTGTGGACAAACCTGTTTAATCACATGACAAGTCTTAACAAAATGAAGCAACAGTGGAAAAAGAAGAGATGAACCTCATTTGACAATAGGTTGTTATTTATAGGCTTTTCAAGGCTCTTAGTCATGAACAGACTAAATCTAAACGGGAGCCACAGAGTTGGGGCTTCATATAGAGACCTCGACTCCTCCTCGGCCCATTTCCTGTCTAATCATACCCAGCAGCAAATTAAAACAAAAAATGAATTTACTTTTTATTTATTCTTTTTTTTTTACCATGTAAATACACACTATTGTATACTGCCTGGTTGGCTTATCACTTTTACACTGGTTGCTAATTGAAATGTTATTTGAGATAACATAATTAGATTTATGCAAAATAATGTCCATATTTTGCTGAAATTAATGTAATTGTGTAAATGTATTCAAAGAAGTGTAATCAATGTACAGAAAGCTTGTTGAATTTGTATAAAAGAGAAAGCAAAAAAACAAGGACTCTTGTTCTGTTGGTTATTTTTGTCCCACCTACCTCTGAGAGGCTTGGGAAGGTTCTGCAACTTGATCAAATTCCTACTGTAACTAATTGGAAAATATGTAATTATAAAATCCATTTTCTTGTGACAGTAAATTTCTCTAGTCTTTTTTTCCCTGAATACCATAATATATAATTCCACCACATTTGATTAAAAAAATAAAAATCTGTACTATAGCTATAATTTACAGTCTTCTAAATTTTAGGAGACTCATAGCATTCTAATTCAGTGAATATATACAATCAAATTATTTTTTAATGTTTTCTTTGTAAGAATATAATGCAATTTTATAAGATGGGGCAAATGACTGCTAATGTACATTAATAACGAGAGAAAAAAAAGTGACTTAAAACACTATGCAAGACTATCAAAGAAAGCTCTTTAGAATAACCATCAAATTTTTATCAATGGGTTAATATTACCTGGTGGAAAAGACTGACAGATCTATATAGGTACGTGAACTGAAAAAGACATTAATCACCAAAATAAGCTTTTGCTCTGAATTTCTTACAAATACAATTAAATTGTTGTCATAAGTGGCTAAATTTCTGAAAAAAAAAAAATCTCAAACCCCAACAAATAACTGGGAAAACAATACATCGATTGATCATCTAAGTAGTTGCAGTGTTGGCAGCATTAATTTATATGAAAAAATAATTAGCCTAAGAACAATTTTCTATCGTAATAAAATCTGTTAACACTGAAAATGGAGTATTTCATTTTATTTTCATTTATTTATTTCATTTATTTGAATCAAAGTAATGAAATTCTAAAGAGTCAAGAATGTGGAGTCTTTGAAATTCAAATTTCATCCCATGTTGCATAGTAACTGATTTTTATTATCTCTGTACAAAATATATACATTTTGAATATGTGATGCAACCAGCAGCTAGCTAACCAGACAATCAGTACATGTAACTTTTCATTTTTCTAGACACAGTACATGCGGGTATAGACAGGTTTTACTGTAGTCAGAAACTTAACTGAGCTGAAACTCTGTTCTAGTAAAATAAAAAAAATAATGCATGTGTAAACAAAACCATAGAGTTAGTATTGTGTGAAATAAAATCATAAAAAATGCAGTTGGTTTGAAGGAGGTGAGAGATTGGGTGGAAATGGAAAGGTACTGTGTTGGAGAACATTATTGCTATTCCATGTTAGGTTCTCTGAATTAATGTTTCAGTGCCTCTGGTAACAAGGTGTTAGAACTCAGTGATGTTCTGGTATAAAAAGAGGCAAATTATATGTTAGATGTAAACATTTTTAAAGAAATATTCATAACAGCTTATCGTGCAGGTTGAATGACATTGACAGTGAGCAGGCAAACTGCATACTTTTATCTCTAAGTGCTTTTTGCCTCACTGATTACAGTGTCTCATATCCATTAGACTCACATATGTCTAATATTTCCTCTTTGGTGGAAGAAATGTGAATAATAAGAAAAGGGAAATGTGGCGGACATGGGGCAAAAATATCCATATTCATCATATTTTAACTCTGCAAAAGCTAAATAGCCTTATATTCAAAATAAACATGATTTTGAAGTGGTAGAACCTGCTACAACCACATGACATTTCAGGTAAAAAGAATTTCACACATACTGTCTTAGATACACTGATTTTCCCTTTAATGAAATTTGAAAGCCCAGTATGACTGTGGTTTGCACAGTCATACTGACATGGTTTGACTGGTCAAAAGCTGATCAACTATAGTGCTATTCCAACATTGCACTGGCTAATTGTCATTCCACTGAGAATGCTAAAACATTACAACAGTCATCAGACAGCTACTGCTAGGACTGGATAGTTTCGAAGGCCAGAAATTAGTCTAACCCATGAATAAACATGGGTGCTGACCCACTGCGTGGACTCATCTGTAAGACAGACAACGTGGCTTCCTGATACACACGCACACACGCACACACACAGAGGGTGAGGCACCTGTGAATGACTAGGAACAGCAGACAGACGAGCAGACTTTGGAGTATTTCTTTAAATATGCAATTAGATATTAGTGACATCATCATGCGATACTGAAGTCAGTTTCTCTTGGAAAACAACACTTTTGTTTAGTTTTCACCTCGGCTCTCTGGGATCTTCAATTTGTTGGTCGCTCCATTAGGAAGTGTCTTTCTCTGTCATGTCCACCAGGTGGCCACAGACTCATTTCCACGTTTCCTCTCGGCTCCAGGGAGGTGTTCCCGCACAGCGCAACAGAGGCAAGATCAGAATCACACATCCAAATATCGAGCATATTAGGGCAAAAGGAGAAAGTTATTTCAGATCAAGGTTTCAAAGGAAACTTGATCCAGCTGAGTCCAGCCTTTGCAGGCTGTAATAACTGACCCGCTAGACACAGTAATAAATAAAAGTTCAAATGAAACACCTGGGGGTGTGCTAGTTGCTGTAAGCCCACTGCAAGCATTCTTTGTCTGTGCTTAAGGATAAAACTAATTAAGGTTCTTTATGATTAGCCTGGGAGTCATGGAAACTCCAACGTTGCTGGAATAAATGCCACTGGAGGTCCAGGAGGAGGGTGATGGTCTCTGCGCCCAAAGGATTCACAGTTCTCAGCGAGGACACAAGCTCAGGCCTGTATCCCACTCAGCCACACACACAGACACACAAACATTCACAAACTCGTTCTATCTCTTCAGTCCTGATGCCTTTTCTGCCAACACCACTCCCCTCCCTGGTGCCAGTATCCTCACTGGTCCAGATCCTTAGATGACATTGTCAAACAGCTCCATGGACTGCATGATGTTCTCATCCTGAACAGAAAGAGAAAAACACCACTTTATTTATGCTCATGTGATTAAAACTAAAGACAAAAGTTTTCTCTGTACCTTTTTACATGAATCAATAAATTCATCTATGGTGACCACCCCATCTCTATTCTGGTCCATTTTCTGAAAGAAAACATTCATTTTCAATCGAATGTCTGTGACTATATGCAGTCTGAAAGAAAACAGTAAAGCAAACACTGAGAAATCAAACCTGAAAGAAGCTCTCCACGTGTTCTCTTGGAGCATCGTCCATCATAGAGGGGTACGTGTATTTTCCCATCATGTCATAGATAGACTTCATGATGTCCAGCATTTCCTGAGAAATTAATGTCAAAAAACACATAGGTATTAGAGATGTAGGAGAAAACATTATTCTTTTATGACAGTTGTCATCAACGTTGCTTGAAGGGGCAGAACAAAATCTACAACATTGAGGAGGTAAATTCAACGAGTCGGTTCTGAGTTATAGACAAGAGGGCCGAAGGGAATGTTCCAGCTACTGAAGGATTACACTTCTTAGCCTTCCAGGGAAAGTTTATTCTGGGGGAGGGCAGTTCACCTCAAACTGATAGCTTTCAAACAGACTACTTCCTCCTGGTCTGCCTTAAGAAGAGAAGTTTGAGCGTTTTGTTCATGAGAGATGCTGGAATGAAGAAGGAAATCAATAGACAGACTGGGGTCTTGTCTGCAGTAACACAGACGCTGCTGCTCTGTGTCAGGCTGCAGAACAGCAGAACCAAAAGCTCTCGATTTACCTGTGTTTGCTCTGACCTTCATCTATAAGTGATGAAATCTGGATTATGACTGAAACGACAAAATCTCAAATACAAATGCCTGAATTATCTTCATCAACAGAGTGCCTGCACTCATTAAGGGAAGCTCAAAGAAGATTCACTTCTCCTCAACAAAAACATGAGTCAGCTAAGGTGGTTCAGACACCTGACACCCACTAAAGGGAAGATCTGAGGGAAACCCCAAATCACTGGATTCAACATTCATTTCTTCTGGCCTAGAAATAAATGCATTGAGATTCCCGAGGATATGCTGGAGAGTCCTAGTCGGGTGAGAGATTTCTAGGTTTCCTTTTCTTTCTTTCTTTTTTACCTGTTACCTCTGTGACCTGATTTTGAATAAATGAAGGATGAAAGAAATCTCAAACGCTGGAAGGCAATAAATGCTTAATGCAATGAATAAGTTCAAAATTCTGAAAGAGATATTGAAATTCAAATTAATTCAAATAAAACTTGTCAGTTTGAAAATTAATGCGAGTGTGTTACCTCTTTGGTAATGCAGCCGTCTTTGTTCAGGTCATATAGGTTAAAAGCCCAGTTTAGTCGGTCATTAATCGTCCCTCTCAAGATGATGGACAGACCAAAAACAAAGTCCTGATAGAGAAAATTAATCAATTAGGAACTGCTTAAGGTTCTGACATACTGATGAGATAAACTGTTTATGACTTTCTCTGCCCTGTGGGCTAGTGTTGAAGTGGATAATACATCTTTGTTTGACTGTCACCGCTGCATCAAATTTCAGATGAGCCCACATTTGCTTTGATCCGTTCAAAGAACAGAGCTCACCTCGAAACTAACGGAGCCATTCTTGTTGGTGTCGAAGGCTTCAAACAGGAAATGTGCATACATACTCGAATCTGCAAAGGGAGAGACTAAGAGTAACCCGAGAGCAGCGGAAACGTGAAGTCTTTGAACGGCTCTGATTAGCAGTGAGCCAAATATAGACTAGATATAAAAATAATTTCAGATACAACTGGAGGCAAGTGGTTAACATTTCATAAAACTAAATATTATGAAATGATAAATCACTTTGCTTCTCTGCAGAACATCTACTACGGTTAGGAAGAACTGATTAGTATGAGTTAAATATAGAGCAGTTATTTTATTGTGATAAAAAGAAACCAAAGTTTCCATTCAGTGCTTCCCTTATAGACCACCAGATAAATGTCATTATGTACAAAGATGAGCCAAGTAAAAACATAATACAGTTTCCAAATAACAATTTCAGATTTTCAAGGAAAAACAGCAACACAAACCAATTTTGCCTCTAAAATGATCTGCATTGAAAATCTTGGGAAGGTACACATCACTAGTACATCAAGCATAAAACCAAGACAGCATTTCAGACAAAAAAAATCAGTCAAACATAGTAATGATAATGTGATATTCTGGGACTGCTTTGCTGATTGAGCCCTTTATTTAACTCTTCACCAAAACATCTAGAATCAGCATACTGGGCCATCAGTTCATGGGACGGAACCAAGATCAGAAGCACATCAGCAAGTCCGTGTCTAACAAGTTCCAGAAAATTAAAAAAAATGAAGACGTCAGAGTGGCCTAATCAAAGACTGATATTCTGTGATATTCTCCTTAAATAGCCTGTTTAAGCTCAAAAAGCCACGCAGTGTCACAAATTTAAAAACACATTGTAAAGAAAAATGGGCCAAACGTTTGATACAGAAACTGATTATTATTTTTCTCAAAATTCATAATGACAGGAGTTGCCAATACTACTGAAATTTAGGGGCCAGGTTGGTTTGCCTAGCTTTTCCCACTGATAAAAACACAGATTTTAATATTGTTGAAACCTTTGCAGGTATTGTTTTTTTTAGGTTGGGCTATTTATCTTTTGTCTCTAAAACCGCAAATGTATTTGGAACATCTAGTGACCTAAAGAGTCTCAGTTATTTGAACCCTGATTACAAACTGATTACAAACTAACCTTTTATAACCTTTTGGTTCTTAGTTCAGTTTGCTGGCACAATGCAACTTTTACAGACAAGGTTTACAGTCATTAATGACACACAACATATTTCATTGATTTTGACACGTTATATTAGAAACTTCTATTTTAACTACATTTGATTTAAATAAATTAACTGTACATCTCTACTTTGTGCCCTTTGAGTTGAGCCATAAGAGTATTTACTCAGGTTATCTTTATCAGATCTTAATTTATTTTTGATCACCTGAAACATTTGGGCATGACACAAAAATCAAAAACAGAAAAAAATATAAATGTCAGATTATTTTTGCAGTGGTGTACATCTATTTGTTGAACATTTATTTTAGGAAAGATATCAAAATTTAAATTACAGTCAAAAATGGAACTCACCTCCCTGAGGAAAGAACTGGGAGTAAATGTTTTTAAAGTTCTCCTCATTCACCACTCCACTCGGACACTCCTAGTGAAAAACAAAAGGAAAATGGAAATTCTAACATTTTTAAATGCAACTGAGAATATAAGTGAACAATGGAAACCTACATTTTTGAAGCCCCTGTAGAGGACCTGCAACTCCTTCTTGGTGAACTTTGTCTGCTCTTCCAGCTTGTCCATGCTCTCAGGGCGATGGCACACAGTGGACAGCTCAAAGTCATCTTCAACACTGTCTGTAAGAGACATAAAAGCGTTAGTCACTGAAAAAATAGCCATCAGGAAAACATCCAAACCTCAAGAAGTGAAATCTTACTAGTAATATCAAAGTCATGTAAAGATAATCGCATCCAGCTACATTTTCATTCTACGTAAATTAAACACTAAACAAAACCAAAAAAATATATATTTTCACAACTAAAAAAGGAGAGAAAACTCAATGAAACAAAAAAAAAATTGTAATATAAATTCATGGACTGGGAAAATCACATTTTGAGTTCAGAGGAGCAATTTAATTGGGATTAAATTCGCTTACACACCTTGTTGTATTTAAAACAGGAATCACAAAACTCTTCTAAACATGTCAGTTTCTCAGATTCACTGGGCAAAAGTGAATTTAAATAGAGTACATTTTTCAATAATTTATATACAGATTTTATTGTTATAAAACAATAATTTATTGCTATAAAAGGGAAACCATGGCTTTTAGTTAGCACCCCGAACATTGGTAATACATATCTCATCCACAACCACACCCCAACCACTTTTGAAGTACACTAGTTTCAATCTGTACATCCTGTGGGCAATCTAGAAGATTAATACAAAAGGTTTCATTAATTAATGAGAACCAAACAGAAAGTTCAGTAAAACATACTATTTCATGTGATTGAACCTATGGAACTGTGACAAACACACTTGTGAAGTAAACACGGTTATTTTACCTTTTACCTTTTTCTTTTTAGCTTTTTAGCCTATAAAAGCCCAAATGTTTACAGTATGAATGTAGATAGGCTAAGAATAAGAACCACATCATTTAGTAAAAACACTCATAGCTGATACACTCAAGCTGTCTTGTGCTCTTGAATCTTCTCTTCTTGCAGCTTGTCTACTCATTCTCACCTCCTCTCTACTTGTCTTCTCTCCCCACCCATTGTCCTGAAACTTTTTACAACTTCATTTTATTTCACTCATCTTCCTCGTTCCTCCTTTATGACCCTTGATCCATTTTCTCCTAGTCTCTCTTTAAGACACCTTTTTCTCCTCAACTCTCCTCGGATCCTTTTATCTTCTCATCTAGCTTAACAACCCCTTTTTATCCCAATTTTCTTCTTCATCACTCTTTATGACCCCACACACTGAGACTGACCGCCATATGGAGGAGGCTAATTTTTAGCTGTGATCTCCTGCTTTTGGTCATCATCGACATCTCGCGACTATAAGTAAGAGTTAGCAGATAGACAGGCCAGAGTAATGCTTGTATTACGAAAGATGAGATCCAGATCTGTCTATTTATTTACCGCTTCATCGTACCATCACTTCTGAAAAAGACATCAAGGTACGCCTTGAGACAAAAACTGAATTCCAGGTGTAATCTACTTTTTTACAGTCTAGAATGATGGCCTCAGATTTACAAGAGCAGACTCTCATCCCAGCTGCATCAGTCGGAGCTGCAAACTGCTCCAGGACATAGTAAAAATTCTGGTTTGAAGATGCATAAGAAACCATATTTGCTGCAGAGATCCCATCAATAAATGACACAAACAGAAGGGCAGGCAAGAGAAGCTGGTGGAGACCAATCCACACTGGGAAAAAATATGATTTGGAGAAAAACGTGAGGGCACACCACTTACCTTAGTTATGAACATACTGCAAGATACTCTGTGATCTCATAGTACCAACCCCCACAAAACACACATGAAGTGACCAACCTAAATGTCCTAAGACCCTCATAGCATTTCCTTAAGGGTAATGATTGTATCATTGTTCAATAGCCAGGACAAAAACCACTCTTCGACTGGAGTCCAAGACTCGAGAATCATTTACTGCCTTCTTTCAAACTCTACACAATAAGCTAACTTAGGAGAGTTAAATATTGTGAAACTATTGCTGGAACTTGCTCTCCAGCACAATTTACAAGAGCAGACTCTTATCCCAGCTGCATCAGTCGGAGCTGCAAACTGCTCCGACTGATGTGAACCGACAGAGTGGTCAATCACTCTGTCGGTGTTGTCCCACCTTCCACTACAACACCAAAGATGCTTGTAAATCACAACATTTTCACAATGTCCAGAGGTTTCTGGGAACAGGGACACTGGAGCTCTTTTTTAATCAGTGACCTCTGTCATATTACCTTACCTTCCCAGGTCTTATTTTCTGCCTCCTCTGTGGAGGTGACTGGGTTAAGAAGGTCATCAAGCATTCTTTCCAATACCTGGCAATGTTAACAGTAATGGTTTTCATGAAGGGTCTTTCATACAAATTTGCTGAGAAAGTGTAAAAACTGTAGCTTAAGTGAAAGACTTAAAGACTAACATTAACTATGTTTATTCAGTACAAACACAATTTCTACTTTTAGATGTCACACTGTACAAATTGTAACACCAAACCTGCTAGCTTAATTCAAACTGTGAAGCTCTCCTTTTCTTTGTGTTATGTTAAATGAATGTGGTAATGACAGCATCCACGGAAATGTTAACGTGAACTCTCTAGAAAGGCTATTGGAAGAAAAGCGAAGAGATGTATGCAGAGTGAAGGAGCACTTGCTTTGACTGATTGAGGGAGTGGTCGAGGGCGTGCAGCACGGCAGCAGCTTGAGGAATCGCTGCTTTATGGTTTTTTTGCTTTGACTGGTGGAGGGGTTACCTGCAATCACCAACCATAGCACAGAGGTTAGATATGTACACTGACATGGGTCTATTTACTTCTCTAGCAACATGCCGATAGAACCAGAACACACAGAACATATAACAAAAAAAAAAAAAATGCAACAAATCACTTCATGCTGTTCAGACAGGCAATTGCCTTCTGGGTTGGCTCAACAAAGGGAGACCATTTTTATTTGCATCCCAATATTTACAGCTGTCAAAAAATTTCATCACCTGGATTTAACAAAGTAATTAGGTAAGAGGTTCCCATTGAGTAATTATGGATGATTATGCTTCAGCTAGCATTATTTAAACCCTAGTCGATGCAGGAGGTGGCTTCTCATTCCTTAAAAACCTTCTTTGAAGGAACATCCTATGGTTGAGGGAAATATATAAATCTCTTTTAGACTAACAAAAAACATCTGAAAAGATGAGAATGCTGAGGCTATTAAAATTGTGTGGAGAACTGTCCAACACATTATTAAAAAACTAGAAAGACGCTGGGGAACCATCATGTTTGTGGAAGAAATGTGGTTAATCCAAAACCTCAAATGACTATGATAGGTGATCACATACATGTTTGGTAAAATCAAAAACACCAGCAGAAATCCCAGGTATGTTCACTATTGAACATAAGAACATTGCATCTTAGTTTTCATATGCACAATGACTTTGCTGTTTTTCCAAGACCAGCCAATGGTTTGAACAGTACAGGACACTTGGTGTGGAAATAAACCGAAACCACGGCCTCTATAATGTGTCATCCTATTGTCTTTCTGTAGCATGCAGCCCCGGGTCTGTCACTTTCTTTGCCTGTGGTTGTGGCATTATTTACAGAGTAGGCAGTGCACATTGTCCGATGTCTGGCAGACTCATCTATCCAGCTACCTAAACACAGGCCCTATCCTGGTGCCTTAAGCTGTTCAAACAGGTAAGCAATTTATCTTTCTCTACGCGGACCCAAAAACAGACCATGTCACAGAAATCAATAGCAGAGACTTTAAAAATTAATCAACGTTTCGCAGAGGTAAGTTGAAGGGCTTATGCATGCAAATAATAATAAATATAGAAAACTAATATATAACCTTATAATCAGCAGGTTCAAAAAAGGAAAAGATGAAAGAATATGACAATGAAGATTTTTATGCATTGGTTAATGCAACAGTGATCGTTCTGAAGCTTTGAAATAGACTAATGACAAAAAACACTTTTGTTTCATGGGTTTTGTGCTTCTGCTGACTGTGCATGGTGCATTGAGCCTAAAATACTTGCAAGAATCATCAAAGCCTCTGTCAGCACATCATAGCTTACTCTCCACCTCCTCCGTCTGTCTGTCTTTCTGTCAGTCTGTGCTGTCTGATTTCTTTTGCTGCCAAAGTACCGTGATGAATTTGTGCAGTTACCTTTGATGTCATTTTATTTTCTGACGATGACACCTGAAATGATTTTACTCTGCTTCAAGTCAAAATAAAATGAAATAAGTTTTCCTTCTTATGTAGTGCTACTGGGTTCAATAGTGCGGGTAATCTTGACACCTTTTCATTTCCAGGGGTGGTGATAAGAGATTTTACACAAAATATTGTGTTTCCAGACCCAAGATGTATCAGGATAATTAAACCATACCACAAAAAATTCAAGTGTGAAGTCTATGAAGACTACTTATTTACATTTTTAACTCAATAAAATTAGAAGAAAACCAAGCAGAAAACAAAGAGAACCAGGAAGGCAAAGGCATTTTGAGTTGTAGATTTTTTAAAAAGATATTTTTGGATAAATGCTCCAGTCTTCCAACCAGAAAGCCCTTAGTCTGCCATGCAAGCTGTGTCTTGTGTCCTGGTGGCACTCTGGCGAAGACACATTGGCTGAATTCACATTATCAGTTCAGCATAATCTTCCCAGATATTTATGACGTAGGGACTTCTAATCAAGACCTCTTTGCATCTCTGTTATTTATTTACAATTAAATAAATAACAGAGATTGCATTCATTTACTTATTTTCTCCAAATATCATTATTACTACTAGTTCCTAGAAAAAAACCCATTGTAAACTCATTTGGCTACTGGAATTATCTTTTACTTTATTAAAATATAGTAGTAATAACACCTGTGACCCCGGTAGGTTAAGTATGTTTACATAATGAATAGATGTCGTAATAAATAAATAAATGATGGGGTAAAGAGATTAGCCCTGGAACTCAAACAAAATTGAAAGAACTAAAATAATTTGAAAATAATTTTTACTAATAACCTATAATTTTGAATAATTAAAGGTTATACTAAAACTCTTCCACTGCTGCTATGATTGCTTCTACTACTAATAATAATAACTGCTATATTATTGTAACTTTATAAATAAAAACACTTCTTTTCT